GAAGGATGGTCCCCAGCTGGGGCTGAAAGAATGAGCTGGATTTTTCCAGGGGGAGAACAAGGGAGGATGTTGGCAGGAACTAAGCAAAGAATACAGCCCTGGAGGCAGAGGATGTGAGTGCTTCCCATGATGTGTTGTTACCAACTTTCTGAAGCCCTGGTGTGTCGTTTACCCGTTCCCGTGGTGTAAATGCTCCCGCTGTGGCTGATTTCAAGCCCCCAATGTGAAGTCATTGACTATGGAGTTGAGATTTCTACTAGCACGCCAGCCAACATGCAGTATTTCCCGTGGTCAGGACAAGGATCCCAAAATTTAAGGGCAAAGCCAAACAAACAAAACCCCCATCCTCTCTGCAAAAAATCAATAAAATATATTAAAAAAAATTTAATGCAAAAATAGAAATACACAATGGATAAAATATAAAAACTTTGGCCCAGCCGCGGTGGCTCAGTGGTTGAGTGTCAACCTACGAACCAAGAGGTCACAGTTAGATTCCCAATCAGGGCACATGCCCAGATTGGGTGCTCGATCGCCAGTAGGGGGCCTGCAGGAGGCAGCCAATCCACGATTCTTATCATTGATGTTTCTATCTTTTTCTCCCTCTCCCTTCCTCTCTAAATTATATATAGTTGGCAGGAACTAAGCAAAGAATACAGCCCTGGAGGCAGAGGATGTGAGTGCTTCCCATGATGTGTTGTTACCAACTTTCTGAAGCCCTGGTGTGTCGTTTACCCATTCCCGTGGTGTAAACACTCCTGTTGTGGCTGATTTCAAGCCCCCAATGTGAAGTCATTGACTATGGAGTTGAGATTTCTACTAGCACGCCAGCCAACATGCAGTATTTCCCGTGGTCAGGACAAGGATCCCAAAATTTAAGGGCAAAGCCAAACAAACAAAACCCCCAAAACAAAATGCTCTGTAGTCAACATAAAGAGTATTTTAATGCAATATTTAAAAATTTAATGCGCCGAAACCGGTTTGGCTCAGTGGATAGAGCGTCGGCCTACTAGAGGCCCAGTGCACGAAATTCATGCAGTGATAGGGTTCCTAGCAGCTACCACCTGCTGCCAAGGTCTCCCTCTCTTCCCCCGGTAGGCCCCGCCCCCTGGTCGAACTCCCGGACGCCCTCCCGGTGGAGGGGACAATTTTCATGCTAAGCTTTTATTATATACGATAAGAAGTGATGAGTTTTGAGTGTTACCTTTATTTTAATATAAGGTATTTAATTGAAATTTAACTTTTAGTAATTCAGTAAAAACAACTTTAATAATCACGAAGTGTGATGCCCAGGACACAAAATTCCTGAAAATGTACAACCAGCGCCAGTGCTGGCTGGCCGTGACCCTCAGTTGTGCTTCCTGCCAGGTGAGGAGCCCTGTGTGGTAGTCAGGGTGTGAGGGGGCAAGGGGGGTCTGTAGTTTAAGGCCTAGGCCACCTCCGTTTAATTTGAATTAATCAAGATTCCGTTCAGTTCTTTCAAATTTTGAATCGGCTCAAGCTTCATTCAGACCAGAAGTTTGGACTTCCCCAGGCTCCGCCTCAGCCTCATATTTCCCATGGTCAGGACAAGGACCCCAAAATTTAAGGCAAAGCCAAACAAACAAAACCCCCCAAAACAAAATGCTCAGTAGTCAAGATAAAGAGTATTTTAATGCAATATTTAAAAATTTAGTGCAAAAAAAGAAATACACAATGGATAAAATATAAAAACTTTGGCCCACATTGGTGGATTGATAGGGGCGCTGCCATCCCGCATATTCCCATTGATTGATTGATCAAAAGGGGCGGGGCCATGGGCCGCAGTTGTGGGACTGGAGCGGGACCGAAGGGCTGCACCTAGGAGGAGGGAGGGAGAAGTCCTGGGATATTTG